TAACCTAGTATATCTTATTCAGTGCGACCCTAACTCCACCCATAAAACTGCTCTCTTCTCTCTCCTATCCTCGTGCGTCTCCTCTAACTCTCTCTTCTCTACTCTCTACATCTTTCTATACTTTCTCTTTCTCGACATCTCTCTCTCTCTCTCTCTTCGTCTGCGTGTCGTAACTTGCTCTTTCTCCATCATATTATTCTCCATCCTAACGATTTACGCCCTTCAACCAGGCACATACCTCTAAAACCCTGGCCATCCTGAGACCCTCGCCCATGCCCAGCCAAGACACTCAACAGATCACCTAGCGCATAGCACGCTCGTTTCTCAACAGCAAACCTGATGATACTCATCGATATTGAGACTCTATATTAGTCAGTCCAGTCTAAAGCGTGCATACAAAATAACCTCAGGTCTCACATCCAAGTGAAATCTATGTACAGCTGCGATACGTTAAACAGAGACACGTAAGGGCAGCTTGCTATTTTGACAACGATGCATGACGATCTAGAAAGTTACTTTGTGTGCAAGAAAAGTATATCGATGAGCTGAGTAAGAAAAGCAGACGAAGCATATAGTTTTTAAAAAATAAGGATGAGTACAGAGGTATTTGACTGTTACATACAAAATTACTTAGTGTAAGCTAATGGACCTACCAAGCAGCAATGCTAAGAAACTGCGAGGGGGATGTCGAGGAGGCGTAATAGTAAGAAGCGGAGGCGTCGCCCTGTGATGTCCCAGATGTACGGGAGAGAGAGATGTCAACAGATGGAAAGGAGGAAGAAATTTGATACTATTGCTAATGCGGTAGAGGATGCGAGATGTGTGTGCGTAGAGATCTTGAATATGGTGCGGTACTACGATGAAACTGCGGAGTTGGTATGAGAGGCGTTGTGCACATGAGTAGTATGTGAAAAGACTGCATGTATGCCGCTGTGAGAGTAGAACCAATGAAGGAGAAGAGAGATGTGATTGAAGAACACTCAGCAGTGACAAGTGAAACTAGAGAAGACACTTTGAGAGTCAGAGTTATGGGGAAAAAGAGAGATTGAATCCCAGACGACGGAACCAAAGTCTGAGATTTACCGAGAGGGAGGAAAAAGACGAGTATGCCTAGCAGAAAGAGCGAGTGAAAAAGAAGCAGACTGAGAGAAGGCGTGAAGTGTGAGAAGAAAAGCGAGAGTTCGACAGGCAGATGTCACAACCCAAAATAATCCCATTGTTGAAAGGAAGAGACACATTTGAATTCAACACTGCAATCAACGTTAAACCTAATGATACCTCCCTCCAACATGTCCTACTCTCCTTCTGTGCGATCTTCTTTGCAACCCTCCCGCGAGAGTTGATAATTGCACTCACAAAGAGTGAACCTACCAGTAGCTAACTTTCATCTCGAGTTTTAATGAACCCTAGCAAATTACTATTGCTCTTCATTCAATATGATCAGTGCGATTACATCAGAATACCAAGACGACTCTACTATCTGTATTATATTCATTCACTTCCTACTCCACGCATGTCTTTGCTTCTGTTGGCGCCGACGCGCTTGGCTTAACTGGTCTGCACGTCAGATTATTCGCCCTATACTTATCTTTATATTATTATTAGATTATAATCTACCTGCAATCCCAACGTAAACGGCAACATAATAAACTTTACTAACGTCGTGATGCGAGTTTTCTTAAAATCGATGGTTAATTGTAGTAGAATAAACTGAGATCCAATTATACTATAATGTCCATCTTTATGATTCGCTGCGATTGATTTCCCCTTCATGCAAGCCTCCGTAAAGAGACGGCAGCCATTTATCAAGCGATCATACCGCAAATTACTCCCATCAACTCTATATGTAACACCAGACTGCCGACATCCAGAAGAGCAGTCTAATTTTCTACTGATATCCATGATCCTATATGTGTCTTGACATTTTGATATGTCGAGAAGTGTAGAGCGATGAATGGCTGTGACTGATAGAAGCAACGGAAGAATAAAGAAATGCGGAACAGATATCAGCAGGAGACATAACTGTAAACGAAGGAACTTGCGAAAAATAAGGTATAATCTATATATAAGATGTGAGAATCGGATTCGATGAGAGAGTAATAGCCAAATATAAAGATGGACGTTCATGAGATATCCGGAACATATTAAAAGTAAAAGGATTCTTACGAGTACAAATAATTAAGTTATTACGGAGTAAAATAATAAGACCACGGCAGTGGAAGATTAAAAGTCATATATGAGCGATGCTG